CTCCCCGTCAATCACAGCCTTCATGGCACCTCTTGTCTCATCTGTTTCCAACGCCCTGGCCACATAGCTCATTGGCATCTGCGCAGTCAGAATCTTCCGGCCCGGGAACCTTTCCCTTGCCTCCTGCTCATGCAGCCCGACATGACCGAACTGAGGGTCCGTATAGGCGACATACGGAACGATTCGATCTCGAATCGAGAGCCGCTCACATGTAGATGTAGACTCCAACAATGTAGGCCCGAGTACTCGGAAATCGTCGTATGAAATATGCGTGAAGGATGGCGGGCCCTTGACGTCTCCAATGGCATAGATTGACGGCGCAGATGTTTCCAAAAATTTATTTGTCACGACATAACCTCGCTTATCCATCTTCACGCCTGCAGCAGCAGAATTCAGTCGCTCGGTATTTGGTACCCTCCCACTTGCAAAGAGGATATGCGTGGCCTCTTTGACGACTTCCCTCCCCTGCCGCGTCTCGACTGCGACATCAAACACACCCCCAGAGACATTTTCAATCCGGACCGGAGTGGTCTCCAGACGAACCTCAATTCCATCGTCCCGGAATATCTCCAGCAACATGTCTGCCAACTCCCTGTCCTCCCTAGGAAGCAACTGCTCTCCTCTCTGGAGCATCGTCACCTTAGCCCCAAGCCTCCTAAACAGCTGACCGAACTCGACCCCGATATACCCACCCCCAACGACCACCAAATGTCGCGGCACCTCTCCCAGCTCCATAATAGACGTAGAGTCCAGCACCTTTTCACTCGGAACCTTTTCCAGTCCCTCAAGCATAACCTTACCAGGCCGACAGCCCGTATTAATCACAATTTTGTTCCCCCTGACAACCCTCTCATTCCCATTCCTTCCATCCATAACCACCATCGTCTTCGCATCCACAAAACTTGCCTCTCCAATGATGACATCTACCCCCGCATCCCGAAGTCTCTTCTCACCTCCTGCCCGGAACGAATCCACAATATCCCTCTTCCGCTGCCTGATCTTCTTCATGTCAATCACCACTTCATTACCATTATCCCCCTCTTTACAATCAGATGTATTCGGTGTATGAACACCATATTCCCCACCCCTCCGAGCAAGATACGCGACCCTCCCCGACGCAATCATCGTCTTGGTCGGCGTGCACCCATCATTCACGCAGCAGCCGCCGATATGTTCTCGCTCAATGAGTGCGGTTTTGTGGTTTGCGAGCGCGAGAGCTCGGGCAAGCGGCGTGCCGCCTTGGCCGGAGCCGATGATTATGGTATCGTATTGGGTGGGGGCAGACATTGTTTGAATGAGGTGGTGTTTTAGGGGATGTCGGAGGATGGGGCGGTACATTCCTTTTGCTTAGAAGGACGCTGGGATATTTATGTTAGAGATGGTGGTGAGGAAAGGGAGACGGTGGTGATGGGGCTTTCAGGTGGGGAGTATATACCTAGTATACGATATTTGGGTGGATACAAAGAAATGAGGGGTAATGGGAAGGATGGGTCATGATTAGATCATTGACGTTTGGTTGAGGATGGTCTGGATCGCCGGTAAGAGATAGGATGGATCGTGAAGGGTTGGGGTTCCGTGGGTGAGTGCGGGATGCCATGTGCGTTTTCCCCTTCGGAGGGTAGTATGTGGTATAAGAGCAAATGGATGAATTGGGCTGCTTACTTGAGCACTCTGCGGAAGTCGTACAGTTGGGAATTCTGAATGAGGTGGAATACGAGGTTGTATTGTCAGAGTGACACTTCACCGTATTTTTGCTGATGCAACATTTCTTTTGATTCTCGGGAAGTGGGTTGTAAATCAAAGAATAAATATGATAATTCAAAAACTGCCGTCTGCCGATTATAATATACGTATTGGAATGTAGATTCCAGAAAGCTAAATGTTGAATAAGATAGTCGTAGCTTATGTTTAACTTTCAACTATAACTATGCACGTTATGTTATTGCAAGATCTCTCGGATCCTGGCCGAGCCAGTCAGACTCCCACTGACGTTTCAGTACTTCTTTGGCTCCAGTCTTCTCCAATCTGGCCGCATCCCACATAACGTATCCCCATTTCCGTATCTTATCCTTTACAAAGTACCCCACCAGACTGCTGTACGTGCCTTCCCATATAAGGGTCCACGCCAGTGGAGGATGGGTCGTGTCTGTACTTGGCACTACTACATCTCCAAGGAAAGGCAAAGGATCCCGTCGCCCTTGCTTTCTATCGCGAAGAGATGGTTTGCTTCTCCGACGCTTATTCTGGACGTCTAATCCTATGCCATCATTGTTCAAGAAGCAGACAGTCTCCCGTCCGATATGATTTCGCATAGTCGAAACAAGGTGATCATGATCCTTGATTTTGAATAATACCGTGTGCAGGAAGTTGAGGCCCAGGGCTATTGTGCCATTTAGGAGGCAGTCCCTCGTAACTAAATAATTGGGAAGTGATTAGTTGGGATCAATCCTGAGAATGTTGAATCTGAAATACGGTAGCAATGGAGCAGATTGGGGTCTCAACTTACAGGGATTGTCAAAATCAAGAAAGCCAGCCGGCATCGACCGCTGCTGGCCAGGAATAGCAGGGGGACCGTGAGACACATCGTGATGAATCCTGGAAAATATATGGTCAAATTTCACCTTTGCGAAGGTTTTGATACAGAAGATCTCCTCCACTTCCCATGGTTCAAAGAAAGAGAACTGAAGCTCCATAAACTTCCACCCATCGAGTTGTGAGCCGTGTCTGTCTTGGGTATCAGGGCAGATGCGGAATAGGTTACTCCAGAGCTGAAAGCGATACATGGACCGCAGCAGCCGCATCTCCTCCGTTGTACTAAGTTTCGTATTATATGGCCTGGTCCCAGTCTGCGAGGCTAGATTGCCGAGCGACCAAGCAATATATTCCTGCATGAGCGGCCGGACAATCCCAAGGTGGAATGCTGCCATGTCTGCAATCTCATCCGTAGTGGGATTATCATCCATTATGGAATACCGGGACAACGCTTGACGCGCTTGGTAGACGTCCAGACAATGGAGGACCGCGTCCGGCATGTATTTCTCAGCAAATTGGAGACGTGCCGAGACATAACAAACTATAGCTTCGACAGTGGCGGTCTTTGATGTTGCATCCATACAACTGGAGAGCAAGCGCCTCCGATTTGAGAGATACTGACCATGGTAGACAGGCGAAGCCTGTACCAGAGCTTTGAGCCCGTTCAGATCCAGGGATGACAACACATAATCTCGAAGTTCAGGTGGAAGACTTTCGAGACTAGAATCCCGATCATAGTGTTGCTGAAATGGCCGTGCCTGATTTTGAGACTCTTGTGAGACTGGTACTAGCGAAGGTGATGGAATAGCCTGATGAGTGATCTGCAAATCCGCACGGTATCGAGGCACGGCATCTCCTGCAGATGAAGAGAAGCCATCAGGCTCGTACTTGAACTTTGGTCGTATGTTCCTTTCCATTTTGCACACAATGCTTAACGCCAAGTTACTGGTATGGGTTTGATGGATGAATGAAGGAAGCAACGTGAAAAAACAAGATGGAACTTCCGGTAGAATGACTGCCTAGGAAGCACCATATTATATACTGTACAAAACTGGAACCACAACGAAGTGGCGCGGGAGGTTTGTTGCGCTATCGAATTAACAACAGTCTGCGGATTACTCCGACAAGATCAACATGACATGAGATAGGGCTGTTGAAATATAACCTGATCTTTGCGACAGCCGGGATCAACAGACTACTAATAATACCGTACCGCGACAGGCCCCGCAGCCTATATTTACCATTTTGCACCATGAAGTGAGGCTTGATGCCAGGTCATTTGATTGCTGATACGTTAGGCAAGCTCCTAGCACTAGGATTATCTGCAAGATAGGTAAGGTAATGGAGAGGAAGGTTCCAACGATCACTCTCTTTCCCATCCTACTGCTTTTTCCAGCTGTCTTCATTTCGTTCCCGACAACCTTTGATTGAGACTGATGCTAAATATGACATATCTGACCTCTGTCGCAGAAGGGCTGTGGAGTGGCTGTATACTATACCATATGTGAACCCAGGCAACCTGGGGGAGTCATTTTTCTACCGATATACCCCCCAATCACTCAGGATCACGATGTTTACCACTCCTGCACACCGCTACCTGGTGCTACCGGTCACACACGATACAAGTAGCAGCAGTATGCCCTTATCAAAAATGCTTGGCTCGCCCAAGCGCAACATGCCTTGGTGTATGGAATTATGCAGCAGTACTAGACGGATCTAGGCTTTTCATTACAATTTCATTCTTTGTCAACAGCAGCCTCGGTCCAGGACCATCGGTCTTTGTTCTCCACAAAAGTATGGTTCTAAATCTCTTCATCGTGATATGTATCAGGTTGCTTCCGCCCCATGAAAATTTAAATACGGATTGTACCTTCGCTAGTTTCTGGTGTATTGCGAAGGCCGTGACATTCGACGGAGGACAAAGGAATACCTTCTCTTGTCCTATAACCCAACGTTCTTTACTCCTCGATAAACAATGGGCCTCACCGCTTTACCCATGGTAGACGACTTTGAAATACAGGCGATACCCAATCATCGCCTAGATTCTAACAAAGGAATATAATAGCTGCGCCAGTTGAATTAATGTCGGGATTGGCAATCTCCAACCCTGAAGCGCAGCTCAAATGGACATGTGCACTACCAAAATGATAGCGATTGTTCGGCGGGTAGTGGGAAAACTTAGATAACCTTTCAGCTTCTAAGCCATGAATTCACGCCTTTCTTGTACTTTCATAGCCACATCAACTGCAGCGGCCGTTACCTTGACACGAACAATGGCGACATCTTCATTCACATGCAGCCCTGAAAGAAATAAAAACACATAACTAAGCATATATAGCCAGAACATGCAGACGCATATGTACAATCTAGACAGGATAGTCGGACATCGCAAGCCATCTGAGTGAATCAATCATCAACAGGCTGGCCTCTTGACCTACTACATTGATTGATTGCACTCACCAATCACCATGGCCAATCTCAACAAACTCCCCACTGAAACCCTGCTAGAAATACTAAGCTACATAGATTACAACCGCGATTTGACAGCGCTTTCACAGACTAGTCGTCGGCTTTACAATCTTACCAGCAAATCGATCGACCAGGCCATCCGAAATATCTTCGATAACAGCCACATCTACTCCGACGAAAGCGGTGCGTTGCGAAATGCAACATTCAAAGGCAATACGGATTGTGTACGCAGGCTTTTACGAGCTGGGGTCTCCCCAACCTTCCAGCCTGAGATATGTTTTCAAGATGAACCCATCCAGGTTGCGGCGAGAAGGGGATATGCGGACCTAGTTCGTATGTTCATAGAGCTCGGTGTCGATCCGAACGCGAGAAAAGCCCGGAATAACTTTACTTACGACAACACTCCTCTTCTGTCCGCAATATCGAACGGCCATGAAGAAGTCGTCCGAGTACTGATTGAGCACGGAACAGAGTTGGAATACACCGCGGAACATAAAAGCTATGTGCAGCCTCTATCTGAGGCCACAAGTAGGGGTCACTATGGAATAGTGAAACTGCTACTGGAACATGGTTGCAATCCCCGAACACCGAACTTTCTATCGTACCGGGACAGGTCGGCATTCGAGGTCGCTGGTGGTATGAACTTGCCTATTTTACGTTTGTTTGTGGGGTCCGACATACCACAGGACTACTTTTCTGCTCCCGAAAACCATTCTCGCGATATGGTAATCGAGGCCCTGGAGAGAGATGATATGCCACTGGTCAAGTTTCTTTTGGACCACGGTGCTGAGTTCAATACGGCGTATCGTTTATCGAAATATTGCCCGGACCGCCCTTCTGACATGTATTTAGGTAGTGACGTTCTGTACCACGTCGGCCGCTTGTCAGTCACGTCCTCTGAAGAAGCAGGTTACTTGCTTCGAAAGATAGATGTTGATAACATAATAACTGAAAGAAATATCAGTGCGATTATGCGCCTCGCTACTGGTGCGGCACGCGGTGGCAATATATGTCTCCTAAAGCGGTTGCTAGACCTTGATTGGATACAAACACACCCAGGTATTACGCCAGAAATTTGGAAAGATATTGTGAACTCGTGTATGGCAGAGGGGGTCATGGGAGGCTATCTCGATGTTGTCAGACTGTCACTTGACCGTGGTGCAAATCCCAACGACTCGGTATTTTGGAGGCGGGCTGAAGAACGCGGATCACCTCTCCATAATGCAATTAAAAGAGGACACACGAGAGTTGTGGAGCTACTGCTCGATAGAGGAGCCAACCCGTTCCCAAAGGGTCACAAGACTGCCTTCGAAAAAGCAACCGCTCCATATGCGGGAGAATTGACGCCGCAGGCACGGTATGATACCATTCAGCTTCTCGTGAACAGAAACCTCGTTGAAGCGGACCAACTTCGGGTGATAAAGGCCTTCCCTGAGCCCATCGAATGGGAACGACACACCATCAAAAGAGCTGTCTGCTGGGGGGCAAAGGTATTCCACCTGATTCGGCAGCATTTCGAAGTCAAACTTGATCCGGGAAACGCCAACCATAAGTTGGCATTTGAGGAAGCTGTAGAGAAAGGTGACACTACAATAATGAAGGAATTTCTTGAAGCAGGATTCAATCCCAACGTTCCCCGAAGGCTTCTGAGCAAGGCAATGGGCAACTCTTGGGGCCGAGACCCTAGAGATGAAGTTGTTGACCTCCTGCTGATGTACGGAGCAGATATCAATTTACGATATCCGGAAGCAGATATACCCTATATCTCCAGTGGCATATATGGCCTCACGTATTGCTCAGAGAAGGGTGTTAGGTTTCTGTTGCATAAAGGAGCCGATCCGTTTGGTGTCGACCGGTCTGGTGAACACCTATTTGTGAAGGCAGCAACGGAAGGCAAGCTTGACATAGTGAAAGGCGTGCTGGGGCACTTTTATGAAGAAGGGATTCCCTTTGCTCGGGTCAAATCTATGGTTGAGAAGGCTGCGAGGGCCGCAGGCAGCGCTGCAGAGGCTGCAATGGCTGCAGCGTATGAAGTCTATCTTGAAGATAGTTCCTGTGGATATGATGCGTTTTGGGAGACCAGGGACATTGCCAAAGTGGAGGATATATCTGGCGCTGGTACTGGCGCAATATGTACCCTTGTCCGGAGATCTAACCACATCCTTTTATCCTCGTCAAACTTTAATATTCCGCCGCGAATATGCCGAAAAGTCCAGACTTCTTCGCCCCAACTCTCTCAATTTTCGCATGGCTGACGTCGATACGACCTATGAACATCAAGTTCTGTCTTTACCACTAGAAGCGACCTCCACCACAATCGGTTCGCCATCCTCCGTTCCACTTTCTGCTTCGGGACCACTATATAATACCTCTTTTGCTTTCTGCTCTCTGTATCTTGCGTTAGAAAATATAATGGAAAACTGGGTATACTCAACCTACCTTTTATATATCAATGTAGCTGCAATGAACCCCGCCCACAGTAAAAAGAAAAAAGCGAATGCGGCGGGCCACCCCTTTCGCCACCGCGGAGCACCATCCGGACCAGCGGTAGGAAAAAGAAGCAACGGAACCCATATTTGAAAGGAATAGCCGAAAGTCATCATCGAGCCCTGCCAATAATTAGTGTTCTGTTCTGTCTGCTATCCAGATAGTCTATTGAGGTACCATGATGAGCGCCCGCTCTTCAGAATCATCCTTTACAATTGTATTAACAGTCGAATATAGAATAGGACTTGTGCACCCGGCCGCGCCAAAGAGGTACCATGCGACAAACCTATAATACTGTCAGCAGGACAATATACGCATGTGAAATGTACACTTACTTCAGGGCCTTTGGTATGTTCCAAATAATCATACACAGCGAAGAAAATAAACAGCATGCGGACGCAATAGTGTAGATAAGCCATGACGGATAAATTGCAGCAAGTGTGGTCCCTAACCACGAAGCAACGATATTGATCGCGTAGGTTACTGTCGGCAGCTTGTTGACCTGTGGCACTGAGTAGCCTTCGGCCTCTAGCCAGAGGTTCATATAAGAGGTAGGATAAGAAGACATAATCATGCACCTAAGACACAACGGATTAGCTTTTTTTCAAGTTTAAAAATCAAGTCTGTCTTACGCATAACAAAGGATGAAGACCCAGATATGCCAGCGCTTAAGCGTGCGTTTGAAGACATCAAGTGTCATCCTTCCCGGACGACGAATGTTCGCTCTTCGCGCCCGGTCCTTGGCCAAGGTGATATCATCTTCTGACAGGAAGAAGGGTCGCGGAGAATCCGGTATCCCCGGGAACACTAAAAAGCCAATAATAGCGACGGGAATGGTGAAAATTCCGTCTATAATAAACAGCCACTTCCATCCAGGCATGCCGCCCACTCCGGATAGGTTGGTGTAAGCTGCGGATTGCAGGTATCCGCTGACCATGGTTCCCAGCGCGTTGCAAATAAACCATGTTCCAGCTCGTTTGAAGAGTTCGGGGCCAGAGTACCAGGAGCCTTCAGTATCAGTTAGCCTATTATAATGATGGTTAAAGTGCCAAAAAGCTAACCGAGAATAAAGTGTGTTCCAGCAAAGACGGGTGCCTCGAACATGCCAACTAGGAATCGAAGTGCATATAGCTGGCTGACATTTGTGACTCGACTTTGTGCAAAGGTGCATATACCCCAGAGAATTTCAAGGGAAGGGAGCAGCCATCTTGCCCTAATCCTCTTAGTTATGCATTTCTCCCGAATCATGGACAGTAACATACAGGATCGGTCGCGACATCAACAGCAGACCAGGAACTTGAAAGACAACGTAGGCAGTGTAATAGCAGACGTTGAAGTAGTTAAGTTGGTTGCCATTTAGACTGAAGTCTTCCTTTAGGCCACTGACATACGCGTTGCTGATGTTGGTCTGGTCTGGAATATATTAGCATCGGTAGATGTTGCAGTCTCTCCACAGGCATACCCAAGTACTTCACGAAAACTAATTACAGTCAATAAATACTTTGAATTTATCCAGGGGAGCAGCTTACAGCATAGACATGCGAATACGAGAATGGATAAATCCAGCTTGAAGAGCAACCTAGATGATGAGTATCCTGTGGTCAAACCAAGAGGGACAACGTACTTTCGCTCATTTGTCGGATAGTTGGATGGATACCAATTGAACACCTCTTTGAAAAGCCCCCAAACACCAAGTTTACGTGTCTCTAAGTCGCTGTCGGCCATATTACCGAGCCCTTGTCTCCTCGTGTCGGACAATTCTCCGGTGAAAACTTCCTCTGGCAGGGGCATGTTCCATGGTTCGGCAAGATCTTTATCTGATCATTGCATACCCCCCTTCATGATAGAATTATCGAGTGGAGCTGTGTTGACATATTTGCCATTTTGCCATTCATTGTCGTGATGGGAAAGCAACACAATCTGATAGGGCTATTCGGACCTGTTAGCTGCAGAATGCAACATCCGGGTGCGGGATGGCGTGCCACAATCCTAGCAGAAATGCCCTTATCTATCTTTGACATGATTCAGACACGGTACACCGTGCGTTCTGAATTGGATGTGCGACGCTAGATAAGAATTGCGTGCTTTGCTGATTAACTTCGTCACATATGCCGTGCGGGGTTAAAGTATACGCTGCATTGGGATTTGGACATAATTACTCGGACCTTCCCAGCTCGATAGGGTGCGTATAATAGTTTCGTAAACGTTGTTACAATATTCTTGATCACCATGCCTGCAAGACTTATCGACAGATATGACCACGTCCCAGTGACTAAGGAAGACCGTAAGTAATACCTCTGGCTTACCATGTGGCTCAAATAATTAGCAAACCAGTGGACTGGGCCGAACTCATCACCCTCGACCTGAGCCAATATGATCAGCCAGGCGGCAAGGAATCGCTCGTTGAGCAGCTAGACCACGCTGTTCGTCATGTTGGCAAGTAATCTACCTGAAAATCTTTAACCTGATCTAACTTTGCTTCAAGGATTCTTTTACGTCAAGAACTTCAACATCAGCCAAGAGGAAATCGACCGCCAGTTCGCTCTGGGTCGCGAGTTCTACGCTCTTCCACTTGAAGAGAAGCTCAAGTACCACAGCAGCGCCGATCTGGATAGAGGAGAATACAACGGCTACCGGCCAGCTGGGCACCGAATGTAGGTCGTCGACATCTGTAACCATGCTATCATGCTCATACATCCAGTCTTGGCAACGGAATCAAGGATAACGTCCAAGTATACAACATCCCCAAATTTGATGGGTATCATCAGCGCCAGCAACCTGCAATCCTAGCCGACAATATTGACGAAATCGAGCAGTTCAGCCGGGTAAGTGTCCTCTACTTTCTATTTACACCCAATTCACATTAATTAATAATACAGAAATGCCACACGGAAGTAGTCGAGAAGCTTCTCCGTCTCTTCGCCATTCTGCTCGAACTACCCGACGAAGACCAACTCGTCCGAGACCACCAGTACGATGTAAAGGGCGAGGACCACCTCCGCTACATGCACTACGCCGCACGTGATGCCGAGCTCAACAAGAAGGTCGGGGGTCTATACTCTCCCGGTCATACCGATCTGGGCACGGTGACCCTGCTCTTCCGACAACCCGTCGCCGCGTTGCAGATCCTCAACTCGGAAGGACAGTGGAAATGGGTCCGCCCGCAGGATGGAACCATTACTATCAATACCTGTGATGCGTTGACTGCGCTCACGGGCGGGTTGATCAAATCGAGCATTCATCGGGTTCATGTTCCTCCTGCTGATCAGGCGCATGTGGATCGGTTGGGTGTTTTGTATTTTGCCAGGTAAGACTACCTCTTTTCTTTTATTGTTGCATAGTATGCTAACTTTATTACTTAGGCCGAACAACCACGTCGTGTTGGATCCGATCAAGAACAGTCCCCTGCTTAACCGGCTCGGGCTCACTAAGAATGTCTTTACGGAGTTGGGACAGCATTTGACTACTGAGCAGTGGGTCAAGGCGCGGCAGACTCAGCAACAGAGACGCACGCGGGAGGCGAAGGTCTCCGAGGATGGGAAATACAGTTACGGAGACAAGGATCTGCAGATCCTCCCAGGGTTGGATGCCAAAGTGTATAACTGAGAGACAAGAGAGCATAACTATATCATACACAAGCTTCGACCGTTTGTCACAAATAAACATATACATGGTGCCACGACCTCTGGTAATACCGATGCCACTAGAGGCAGGATTCTTCATCATCTCGGTATGGTTATTCGCATCAATAGCACAGCTACGGAAGGATAAGTCGATTATACTTGTCTCCGCGTCACGGGTAACTTATCCAATGTCTTGGAGGCCTTTGAATCATGTAGGAGGTGTATCCCATGGGCGTTTGATACTTTATACGGAATATTCCAAAGATCGTGTATGAAAGTAATATCATTCTTATCATATCATGACCGGTGGTATGGGCTCCTTTCATATATTTTACGCCATCGATCAAGTTGTTTGAACTGTATAGGCTAGCGGACCTAGATCATTATTCTCCACCTATTACCTTGATGTTCCCGTACAACTCTAGTAAGAGACATTGGTCCACCGTAGATCCCGCCACGACTCACCATGACTTCCACTGATTGTAGGTGCAGATAGCACGTTATCTAATGTAGACAGAGGGTCATAATATATTCTCGTGTCTATATCGGTGCCAATGATGAGAAGAGCATAGGGCTAAACAGGCCTCCATGGTGATAAAGAGGAGCGTCATGATCGACTTAGAGTCGTCCACCACTCGCCTCTCTCAATATAATTTTCCATTCAATATCGTGTAAGTCGTCAGCATGAATGGATACTTTGACATCGAGGGCCCTTCGAAGCTGCTCCTTTGTAGAAGCGTACAGCATACGGATCTATGATCATGTCAGTGGGAACACTTGAAGAAGTCGAAGACACAAGAGCACGATGACCTACGCGAGTAGGCGTCACATCTGGCATCCAGCTTATAAAAACAGTTGTCGCTCTGGTGAAGATTAGCATATCAAAGACACATTGCTTTGCCTGGGTCTAGGGACTTCAATTACCTCCTGCCGTCTTCGTTCAAGTCATATTCCACATCATATATGGCGTACCGAGGTGCGGGCTTCCCGTCATTATCATGCGCAGACGTAAGTCTTTGTAGGAATGCTTCGTAGTTCTTTTCTGGGGAGCATTCTTCCACCATGATAGACTGTTCGTCGTCGGATATCTTATAGATAACGAAGGCAGGTTTACCTGCTCCTCTCTTGTATAAAAGCTCCTTATAAGCATTGATGCACTCAGCAGTTATGCTGACACTATTGATAGTATAATCAATGTTATGATCGAGGTCAGATTCCAGAGACAGGGAAATCGGCAGCATACCCGGACGGGAGCTAAAGTTATATTGGATTAGTCAGTCGCCGATTGTCCTGTGCCAGCGATGAGTGAATATAACTGACCGACATGTTAGTTCTCTATATTCAGGAGACGGTTATTGAAGATGGAATTGTTTATTGAATGACGATGGATTACTAGGATCACTTGTTTCTGTCTCATGGTATAATCATGATGGTATTCTACGTATTTCAGTTATATATATTTACACCTGTCGGGCCTTCGGACCTGCGGTCCCAAATATGCGAAATAAACATCACCCAGATTGATCAAAGCCACTGTGCCCAGCATCTGTGGTGTTTTAAAAATGGAGAAACTAAAACAAGCCACCATAGGATGCAACGCATAGCAAGATTGAAATTTGGGTTGTGCTAAGGGTTGGTACCCTTCAGGATGCCAAGAGTGGCAACGATCCGCTACCTCGGAGCTGCGGACCCGCGGGCCCGCGGATCCGAAGGGTCAGAACCTGCAACTCTCTTCGTGCAACGAAGTACTTGTCAACATCTCAATCACTGCAGAATCTACCATGTCGTCACAGAGCGCTCGAGAAACCATACAGGAGAGACGGCATCGGCTCTCGTTAGTTCCACGGGCCGTAAGCCCCCCAGTCCCGCCTTTTCGCTCGCACGCTAACATGACGTAGTGCGAAGGGTGTAAAGTACGCAAAGTATGTGCCGTACTGAGTAGAGCCACAGTAAGATGATGGGAGCTAAGATCAAATTACTGAAGATTCGCTGCGACCGCAAAATACCGTGTTCAAACTGCCAAGCATCCAAGATAACATGTCGACATCCAAACGACAGGTCAAGGAATCAGCTCCAGACAGATAGAATAGCGCATCTGTAAGTATAAAATGTGGTTGGTCTTCAAATTCAGCTGAACTTACAACCCATAGTGAGGGTCTCGTAGACAGCCTCGATAAACGTTTCCGTGAAGTCGAGTCTAGACTCGCTGCATTGCAAAGTCCAGAACTCAACTCGCGGGTCCAAAGTGTGTCCAATCAGAATATCATAACTGCGGATCCTGGCCGTGTGGAAGGCTGTCAAGCCTTCGAAGGAGATACTTCCTTCGCTAGTCAGTCACTTCATGCAAGTAATATTGCTCATATTACGGCTCTCTCTGCTTCTATAGGCAACAACACTCCAGATATTGAGCACTCCATTAATCATATACGGAAAAGTCTCTACGATTCACAAGAGTTATCCAAGAAAGGCTTTTACTTGAGCAAATCATCACAGCATGCAATTCAAGTAGAACCTATTCCAGCTACGTTGGTTACCAGCCTTTTACGGCGAATGAGAGGTGAGTCATATTCTTTCAGTACGGGTCATAGTTCGCGGTTGCGAGGCTTCTTTGTCTGCAGACTAACGCGAATCCAGCCCGTCATCCTATCTTTCTATCCTCATATGCAATAAGTGACCTCCAAGTGGTTGAGGATCTCTGCCGAAGTGTCCTTTCTGGACCGAGCCGGGCATCTGTCGGCCAGGTGGCCAGCATGCATGGTGTCCTATTCTTTGTCCTCAAGGAGCTTATAGCAATGAAGGATGAGCTCTGTCAGAGATTTGACCTTACCACCCACCTTGACCATTGTGAGAAGGTCTTCGCAGCGACACTAGAAACATATGACGTACTCGTTGTCCCCAGCTTTGAAAATATACTTGCTTTAACAATGGGTGTAAGTATACCCTTGCTGTCTACCTCTACTTGGACTGGCTCAGCACACAATGGATTAGCAGCATGAAGTAACAGTAACGCAGATGGTCAAAGCCCAGGGCGAAGCAAAGCCCGCATTATACTGGACCCTAGTTTCTGCCGCTTCAACGCATTGTCAATCACTTGGATATCACCGCGAGACGACCTATAGGAACATTCTATCCGGAAAGGCGGATAACATAAGAAGACTCTTCTGGACAATATACGTCTTCGATAAGAACATGGCTCTCTTGTTAGGCCGTGTCTCCAGTATGCAGGGTGTCAAGATTGACGTACGGCATCCTGCGATATCAATAGATCCGGGTCGCCGAGCATGGGATGAATCTTTCATTATGGGCATCAGGATGGCGGAATTTCAGGACAGAATATTCACTAATCTCTACAACCTTGCAACGTCAATCAAGGATCCATCTGAGCGGAAACAACTTATTCAAGATCTTGCATCTGATATGGAACAATGGCATTCCCAACTAAAGCAGGTGAGACGGGACCATTAATGCCTATTCAACCCCAGAATGGCTACTAATATCATCCAGATCGATCCGGAAGGGGTCAACAACCTCCAAGTCTTCAACATGTCCAGAACAAACTGGGATATATCCTTCTACTCCACCCTGACGATGCTTCTCCATGCATCCTCAACGACAGGAGAGGAACTACAGATAAGCTCTCGTTGCTTCAACGCCGCCCGTAATGGTTTATTGGCTCATCTCAATTCATTCCCCCAATACCAAAGTTCAAAGCTTCTTTCAGACGGCGAATACTTCAATTGGTCCGTTCTTCCCCCTCACATCTTCTTCTATATATTCCATTGACCGAGTACCACCAGGATTTTATTATTCTCGTCTCTAACCCCATTCCTTGTGATATTCCTCCACGCCATTTCTGCAAAAGACATTCAGAGCATCGAACTCCTTACACAAGTAGTTCGCAGCTTCGAGACGTTCCGAAAAGTCTCCCAAGGCGCGGAACGCCTATATCAGATATGCGCTACTTTTACCAACATTGCCGAGAAACTTCTTCAATCACAGCAACTGTCGGTAGGGATATACAATGAACAAGAGGACTCTCTCAGATTGCCAGATACACCTGGTGACACATCGATGTTCCACGCGGAAGATTTGCAGAATGTGCTTGACATGGATAATGTGGATGGAGCCACCTCGTTGTATGCTACTGAACTTTTGAATGAGTTTCTCAGTGGTGAGCCGTTTATGTGGAATAGGTTCGATCTTGAAGTCGGCAATGGTCAATGACGAAAAGCGAGAAGTTCCGCCCTCGGGGACTTGAGATGGAACTAAGGCATTGGGATCTATGTATTACTCTGCAATAATATGGCTTACCATGATGATGCATGCGAGTAAGACAGAACTGCTAGTATTTGTAAATTGAGGTCACCAAATTTATCTAAATCAAGCATCGAAACTCCTACTACTACCAACTAGCGTCTGCCACATACCATCTCCTTCCAAGGACTCCATATCATCACACCGCAGCATAACCATCACTTGGAGAATTTCATCAGGGCCCGACCTCCGACGGGGTAGAATAATAGCTACACCATCCGCCTCCATATAGGGCAGTCTAACAAACTCCGGCTTTCCAAGCAGAGGCCCAAAATCCAAATTATGAAGATCCAAATCTGCCCAACTTGTAATGGTAAAATCACGAGACCCGAACAAGTCCCAACCTGCATAAAGAGACCTATAATCTTCCATGGAATCCACAAGCCGGTAGGTTTCAGCAATATGGCGCGAGTTTATCGTTGAGGACGACTGCGAATTTGAGATACAGTCGCATATCGTTGCCAGCGAGCGTATTGGATCCTCATCGGCCGTGGCGAGGTTAGCAGCTGGGAAGCTTGCCATGGCGTAGAGCACAACGTTACCCAAGTACTGCTGATCCCCAGGCACAGACTTCAAATTTCCAGTGATACGCGATCGGCAGTTAACAGCTGTCACTAAGCGACTTGTTTGAACTTTGAGAGCGGGATTGCGTTGGGCTCGCACACGAGTGACTGATGTCCATATGAGCGCGCAGAGGATAACGTTGGTGGTCAATCGACGCCGTGTGTATTTCTGAAGGAGTTCTTTGAGCACATTGATCCAGTGAAGCGGGACCTTAAATGGTTTGGACATGCATGGCGGAAACGTATCCGGTAGGACGGGTGGTTGTGTAGAGTGTTCCGGGTGTAGTGCGAGGAGACGATCCGATGAAAGCGATGAGATTTCCTGCAGATCAGGTGCGAGAGCTTCGGAAAGCCGCATGAGCCTACCACCACTTCCTTGTGGCAAGCAAGAGGAATCTGTCTGGTCTGGTTGGATAACATTTCTAGCCCATAGTCGAACAACTTCAGCGAATCCAGTTACATCGACAGCAGTGTGATGCAAGCAGATGCATAATCCGGCCCCATGATCTGCGAAGCGGAAGACGCTGGCAGCGAGAACTGGGTCCCCTGTCTCTGAAGGGATGTTACCGAACAGGTCTGGGAGTGTTGGCCACACGTCAGATGGGATGGCTTTCATGGGCATATCTTGCGAAGAGAGATTGGAGTATGAGGCCGTTATCTGGCCTTTATCTTCTAGGATCGGTATCTTGTCTGCATGGTATCGGATTTCAAGAGACGCTTTCCCATTGGTTGAAGTAGTATGAAAGACATGTCCGGCGACCCAAGGCACTTGATTCGAAATATTCTCGAGGCCGCGCTGGAGTTCCTGCGTGGTTTTGGGAGTTGAAATCGCCGTTGGGAAAACGAAGAGAACCCGAATGTAGGTCCTGGGCATAGGCAGGTCCAGCGGCGTCAAGTGCTCCACGTAGGCGTGATCAGCCATTATTGCCCTGAATTTGACAATGAGTAGTAACATCTGAACACTGACCGGAAAGGAACGGTAGTTTTATCATTGATAATATGCAATAGAGACCGTCTCAGTCTCTCTGTCATTGCCCGCGGGCCCGAGAGTCCGACTGCCCGGGAGCCCGGCCCAGGGTCGTTTCGGAAGAAAAGCGTGGTCATAGTGCGTTGGGCTCAGTCATCAGTCACTAGCATTGTAAACGACAAATAATGGACATTGAACACTCTGAAATGTTATAGCCTAATAAGGCTTGAGTCAATGTTCGAATGAAATTCGAGATCTGTATAGCCTGCGCTGATGCTGGTAACTATCCTATGGTAAGAGGGAAAAGAATTATAGTAAAGGCCAAGCATCGACAGCTCTTAAGAAAATGTGGAACCTTGCATCTTTCTAAGAAGCGGGCTCTATTCACGAATCCTATGTCCCCCAAAATAGGAAACAATGGAAATGGAGATACACAAAACTTCCACCAGACCCAAGAGTGTACTCCCCCAATTCAAGCCGAGAGTTGCATACATGGACGGGCCCGCAAGTGGAAGATCTATGCATTAGCAAGCATTGAAGGCGCCGGAGAGATCCACATATTTACGTAATGATCAGAAAGACATCTCTCAATTCCTACAGGAGGTGCTCTTATCTTACCGTCTCTTGTTTGGTCAGTCAACTGCGTCAAGCAAGCTGTTCCAGCACAGTTTCGGACCAGCGGAAATTCTACGAGATCATGGAGTCACACCTATGCACCCGAAAGCAGCTGAAATCACCATCATCGTCTATCCTGGCCGATAGGCCTATCTACTTTGCCGGTCGGGACGCCGCAGTTCTGTATGAGAGGGTCGAACTGATTAAAATACTAAAAGTGTAGATATAATAGCTGATTTAGTTTAGAGAAGCTGGGATGGAATCAGAAAAACTCAGTCTGATACTGAGTCTATTTACACGTGATAAAACTCATCCAGTGTCAGGATTCCTTTGATACTCTCCCACTAATTTCTGACCCCCTCACAACTGAGACCCCCTAATCATTCGAAGTCGTGTCGTTCATTCACTCGGCGAGGTGGCCGGTAACTTACCCCGCAGCTAAACTTGGCGGGCGCAGCAATATAAGCGACAAGCAGTCACTCTGGCTATCATCATCATTCTTCTTCTTTTCACCACTATCCTCTGGAAACACCCTTCTGGACTTTTACCAGCCCTCTCACAGCAGTCACCGCCCGACATGTCGATCACTCACATTGTCATGGTGCAGATTAAAGCTGAGGTGAGCCCCGAAGTAATCAAAGATGTAAGTTACACCAGCCCACCTAGCGCTTATCCACATCTAACATTGGGACGTCCCCAAAGGTGTGCTCTCGGATGCTTGCTTTGAAAGATAATTGTATACACCCGACTTTCCAGAAGCCATACATCCAGGCCGTATCGGGCGGGCAGGACAACTCGCCCGAAGGCATCCAAGTGAGTGATGAAGGACTGTCCTCCTTGCACATTTTCATAACTAATATCCCAAAGAACGGCATCACCCACGCTTTTGTGGTGCACTTTGCGAGTGCCGACGATCGTGATTACTATGTGTCCAAGGATCCAGCTCACCTGGCATTTGTCAAAAGTCTGGATGGCATCATCGAGAAGGCGCAGGTGGTTGATTTCATTGATGGCGTTTATTGATCTGCTGCATAGCATCTTAGTGCTCAATGCAAGGGCGTCGAGGACAGGAACATTCGCTCGTACCCCTCGGTCGCCTGAAAAGATTAGTTCTGATCCCATTGCTAGACGGATGTGTACACCTTGGTTGTAACGTATTGAATTGGCCTAGTTATTCCGATAATAGAAATCTAACATCTCCAAATGGAAATGAAGCTAAAGGACAATAACTCATTATGTAATATCGCATTTGATAGACTGCTATCAGCCACGGATAACAGAAAAGAGCCCCTCGTTTCAAGTATCTGCCGATATCCGATAATGGAGATATGGCGATTCCTGCGCAACGTATTCTGTGATTGCCGTGCGGGGCATCGGCGAATGACAGCCAGCGCTTTTCTGAATGCCTTCGGCATCGTAATGCTAGCTTGAGATGATGTGATTACCACACCATTTATAAACCTAAACCCAGACTGCTTCTCTATCACATATTTTTTTCGTTTCTGCAGACGTCACACCAAAGTTCTTCCAATTTACAACTGCTATCCACCATGGTTGAGGTACAAACACTCGTCCAACCGGACATCCAATACCACCCCGACTACGCCAAGTACACAGCCCGCACCCAGCGTCGTGTCACCACTGAAACCCTACCCAAGACATTGCCCCAAGGTTTCCCCGAGCATCTCAACTCTCCCTTGGTCTGGGAAGGAACAGAAGTAGAGAAGCGCGATGACTGGATCTACAGATTGAATGATGCGCAACTTGACGAAATCGACCAAGCCCTGCAGTCTTTTAAATGTAATTCCCTCCATCCTAGAACAATGTATATCGCTAACACCTCCACAGCAAAGAACCTTTCCCTAGGTTCGATCAACCAATCTACTTTCCCCCTACCAACCCTTCGCCCTGTTCTTCGTGATCTCTCCCGCGAAATCCACCTAGGCCGGGGCTTCGTTGTCGTTCGCGGCCTTCGCATCGACAACTACTCCCGCGAAGACAACATCATCATCTATGCCGGCGTCTCCTCTCACATTGGGAACTATCGCGGAAGACAAGAAGACAACCGGATCAAGGGAACCCCTTCCCGTGTGCTATCCCACATCAAAGATATCTCCAATAACGTCCAGCCGGGCACTATCGGCGCGCCATCCAACACTGCCGATAAGCAGGTCTTCCACACCGACTCGGGGGATATTATCTCCCTGCTCTGCCTCCAAGAAGCCGCAGAAGGCGGAGAGAGCAAGCTAGCAAGTAGCTGGCACGTCTATAACATTCTTGCCAAGGAGAGGCCGGATTTGATCCATACGCTTACGCAGGAATGGCCGTTTGATGGGTACATATCTACCAAGCTTTTTACATAACATGAGTGACGCTAACTGGAAGATAGATTCTCCAACCCCACGCAGCCCTACAGCACCCGTCCTCTTCTCTACCACCAACCCGCCACATCTAGCATCCCGGAACGAGTCCTGATCCAATACGCCCGCCGCTACTTCACCGGCTTCATGGCACAGCCCCGGTCTACCAACATTCCACCGATTACCGAAGCGCAGGCAGAAGCGCTCGATGCGCTGCATTTCCTGGCTGAAAAGCATAGCGCCTCGCTTGGATTCCAGAAGGGAGATATTCAGTACGTGAATAACCTGAGTATCTTCCATGCAAGAAATGGGTTTACGGATGGGCCTGGGAAGGAGTAAGTAATTCTTCCGGCATTGGTGTAAGTGTGAAAATGGCTAATGAGGAAATAGGCGCCATTTACTGCGTCTCTGGTTGAGGGATCCTGAGTACGCATGGGAGACTCCAGAGCCACTGCGGAAGAGATGGGATAGTTTGTATAAGGACCTGGAGCCGGAGGAGCAGGATTTCCCTCTTGAGCCGAGGATTCGGGGGAATACGACTTCTTAGGTGAACATGAGAAAGTTTAGTTGTTGCATCATTCAAGTTATTGTGAGGTTGGGAAATTTATCTATTTTAAGTATAGTTTCTTTTCGCAATTCTTTCGCGAAAGCAATAGGTTGAGCTTGATGAGAAATTTCGCCTGCCCACGAACCCATTAAATCGCTCTCACAAGACACTTACAGGCATCCAATATGAGTATTTTGAGGAAGCATCGAGTTAGTGTATTGAGATATGCATCATTACTCCTATCACTGGATATAGTGTAGCTCGCAATAACATTTCCTGTAACTGAATATTCCAAGTACCCGTGACACGTTCCCCCACCACTGTCTTTACCATTTCCCTGCCACTTACTGCCCTATTTGTAGCCGCGAGCAAGCATTATTTGAGCCAGACATTACGCCTTGCCCAATTACCCTCTTCACAATCGACGTTGACTGTTCCGCCCTTAGGCCACCCTCACAATGAACAGTCGGGCCGGTGGACTAAGGGACAAAGCCAAACTCATTGATAACATGAACACGACCGATCCACAAGCCGGAACACAACTCATATATACCACCCCCCAGAGCAGCCATAGATCTGGTGCACTGCACATAAGGCAGGAGAACATGGTGATTGGGATTCGTTGTGTATAGAATCCCACTGGAATCATGTCCCCACAACATGAAAACCCCAAATATCCATCTCTAATTGTAAGTACTTGCAGCATTCCTTGTGGTTGTACCGCAAATTTGCTTCATAGGTGGCATTTCACAGGGTAAAGGCGCTTTTACGTCACATCATCCATGTTTCAGCAGCTGGTACTTCTCTGCCATCTCCAGGATAGCGCGCTGCGACCGCCGAAGAATTATATGTTTGTATTGCATTTGTGTTAAGTCGGAGTACTCTTCTAGGTCCGTTTTAGCGCGTGCTGAAGAGCTAGCTATTCCCAGTGGATAGGGGATAGTCTGGGAAGAGTGACCGAGAGCTGTGTGGGTTGGTCCATTCGTTGGAATCATCAATTCTGATAAATGTCTCCTTTGCCATTTTCTCAGATGCAGTGCTTTATGGTAGGACAGGACATCCTGCTTTCCTCCCTTATCTCGCTGTTTGGCAGAGGGGTACTGTATTCGTCACTCGGGACAATGTGAGGTCTTGCCCATTCTCAACGCCGTTCAGCTTGTATTCTTCGTTGACCTTGTCTGGATCTCCTGTTAGGCACCATCCTCGTACTTCACAACGAGCTATAGTAAATAGGCCTGTGTGCAAAAGTAACGAAATAGTCTCATCACATGCTATCACTTTTGCGATGCATAGAACCAATGCTTGAGAGACAGCACTGCTTGTTTGTTTCGGACCCGTGTGGTTGAGAAAGCCCTCTGACAAGTAACTTCGGACACGAGTACCGTACAGTCTACAAAACCCACGGTCCGCTGTGAAAGACAAGGCCTTACCCGATAATTTGCATTGCAGACATAATGAAAGCGACGGTCTGTACTTCTTCATATATATCGTCGAGCACTGTGCCGGAAGAACGGATGTTTTAATCCCGGCGTTCGTCAACGAGACTGGTAATTCGAAAGGCGCGATAGCCTGGCTGGGCGCGACTTCGTCGCCTGAAGATTTCGGCTATTATGCACGAGAGAGAAAGCCTATTAAGCAAGTCTGTGTGTTGTTCAGAGTGCTTGTTCAGGCTGCATAGCCTTCTTCTTATTACTTTGAACAGCGTTTATATCGTCGATGGAAAATCCGACACTGGGGAAGAATGAGATTGCCTTATTTCTCATGGGAGCGTTAGAGCTCAACCACTAGGTTTCCTTGGAAGGAGACATCAGTATATAATGAGGATTGACGCATGATATTTCCATCAGTGACCTTCTTATCCTAATGTGCTTGAAAACAGACCGAACCGAACAATCGGTTCGGATCACGTTGGAATTATACACATTTGCTTCCAGCACATGAATGGAAGCAATTGCCATGGGTCGTCTCCACGAGGAGGAAGGGCGCCGAACAACGCATGGTTCAGGTCCGCGATCCGTCCGGACATGGTCTGCAGGGCGGACGGGAGGGGATAAAGGGAGCACAGCCATCCCTGATAGAAAAGCTGGCTCACCAGATCACCCAGCATGCTGGCCATACGATACTGCACGTCCACCATGCAGAGCAGCATCCCGTTCATGTGCAGACGCCGGAAGATGGAGGTGGCCGACACGGCGTAGAGTGGGCTATTCTGGGGCGTCGACTCAACAACCGGATGCAACTGGAACGGGTCCCCGATCATCAGGTACCCACGAGGACCATAGTTGGCGAAGACCGGCCACAGGTCCGCCTCGGACGCGCGCGCCGCCTCGTCGATGACGATGAGTTCCGGGCGGAAGACGCCGGTGACGAAGGGCTGGCTTTGGAGCAGAATCTTGTCAGTGCTCCCAATGCATAGTTGATATCTGGCCTGGTAGTCATCGATAGACATGATCTCATAAACACGGATTCGATGATGAGACAGCTTCGTCCGGGGCTTGATCGTATATTCACGGGATTCTTTCAGATGGGCACCAGCAATCTTATTCAGTGGATTAAGAAGACAGGACAGTCATCCATGCTTCTTCGGCAAGTTTTGCCGAGGGCGACACAGTGCAGACCTGGTTCGGCGGTAAGAGGAATATAAAACGAGGAAGGCGGCAGTCGAATAAGCTTGCTGCTACATTGACCGCATCGATGCAATCACCACCCCGGTGATCTTTCCGGTTTCTCACCTGTTCCACCTCGCAAGCAGAACACCGTGCTTAGAACTTTCTGTAGCACAGACCCGTAAGTGCGGCGATTGTCTGGTAAAGCAGAACACTATGTTTTGGCATCGTGATCACATTGTAGTAGATTGATCAGGTGAAGCTTCAAAGGTTTTATTGTTCTCCTTTATCTCCACCGTTATGAGGATCCATTTCAAGTGTATCCACAACAGGCATGAACAGGCGTCTCATCGAACTCTGTATGAAGTTCAATGGACGCCATGTCAATGGCATTGTCAACATCCCAAATCTCTAGTCAGCAGCATCGTTATTCTCGAGGTCCGCAGCCCAGGCACAATTTTCTTCCGCATGCCTGACAATCGCTTCACTACCGGCCAAGTCGACCCAATCTTGCACTGCCTGATGTTGGTTTACATCCATTGTGCTGTGAGTGTCTGTCTGCTCCAAATGCATGAAGAAGTAGTGTTGGACGACCCAAGAACCGTATAACGTGTATCATGTCGCTTTCGATCTGGAGGTTTTTAGAGAAACCCTCGGTCGAATCTCTGTTCAAATCTCATCAACAGGCGACAGAAATGGTCGTTCACAGTTTGGAAGACTCCACCACCCACAGCAGAATTAGGCGACGAAACTCTAACGGTGAGAATGAAAAGGTTGTTCATTCCAACAAATGATAGTCACGTGTCATGGCTTCGTTTGTCATGTGTTGCAGATTGAGTAGTGGAATTTAACTGCGTATGTCACTTCGACATGGCGTTCTGCATACTATGTGGAGCGTATGGGATTGAGGAAATGACCTGCCTAGCAAGGAAGTATATCATGGCGTGAGTGTCCACAAGGAAAGCCTTCATTATTGCGCTCTGATCAGGTTGAGGGATCTGCTCTCATTGAAATGTTACCAACAATACTCGTAGTCTCGGTCGGAGTCGGTGTTGTCTCGCAGAACCACTACAAGCAGGTGTAGCAGTCGGTCAGGGTTGCTTTGGCCCTCTAGCTCCAGAAAATATCATTCGCTGACCCGTTTACCTTGGTGGTCTGGATCCATCTTCGAGTCATGGGTCGGTTTTTCTTCTTCCTCTGTGCTAGTTATGTTTTCCTGCTGTTACCTCTTGGATTCAGGTCTTTGCTTGTTCTGTTGCTTTTGTTGCTCGTTTTGTCTTCTGGTCTCTTTTAGTATCATTTATTATGATCCTGTTCATTTTTGATGTATCTTTTTCATTGTCTTTCTCTCTAGTGGTATTTCATTCCGTTATATCGTAGCGTAGTATCTTTGTCACATCATTCTCAGCCCCTTTCCATGGGGACGAAATGTCGTCCTCATCCTGGACCGATGTCGCAGATCTGTGCTGAGAGTCGTATCCAATTCGTATCCTGTATATCCGATTCCTCAGGTGTTGCATTCCAAATGCCAGCATATCGAAGACGCACCGAAGCCACATTGCGTCTTGTTTCCGTGACTTTTCTCAGCTCGTTCCAATACCAGAAATAGGCCGAGAAGGCCCTGGCTTTCGCATAGACCGAAATCTGCGCCTGATCTGCTCCTCGACTCACTTCATGCACTCTTTGGCCTTCCATTCCTGTCAAGGAAGCCGAGCAAACCCCGAGCATTCTATTCTGCCTTCTTCATGTGAAGACACGATGTTACTTAAGATTGTCGTGGTCACCATCTTGTAGATGATCCCATTCAAATACACTCCCGAACCCAAGGAGCCCAGGCGACTTGTAGCATATCGCCTTGTACTTTCGAATGGCTCTCCCCTGGCGCAAGAGTGAACGAGTTATATAAGTCGCCCAATAATGGTTCTGACGTGCTTGTATCTCTTGATTTTGCCGGTGGTTTTGTCTCTAGGTCCTGGAGCCCTCACAAGCACCGAATACCTAGGGGTGGATTGCGGTACGCCTGTTTCAGGTCTTCTTTCAGACAATATATCCGACGTGAATGTTTCGCCGGTTTTTCCGTGACTAGAGTTCCAGTCTGTCATGTGGTTGGGAAATGTCCAATGAAGAGTATTGCCAGCCAGCCTTAGATCCATCATGCGCTCTTCTGGCACTTGAATGTCGCGGCGTATGGCAGGAAGCCTTCGGTTCATCTAGTGTTGGTATGTATCATCCAGCCGATTGATGACTATCTTTGATAGGTACAGGTCGGTTGATCGTAAAGGAGCCGATAGCAATTGCAGAGGTCACTGGCGAATTGACAAGATCCATAAGTGGTGGTTGAGGCTAGGAGGCTCACAGTCCCAATGTTGTTGGGAAGGAATAGAATATAGTTTGCCGGAAACTCGACTGAATGGATTGTGTCTGGGCATGTCGCTTTATATATATAAAAATCTCCCTGCAGTGCGGAGTGATAACCTTCCTAATAAATCTCCCTTGAATTCGAAGAGTAAGTCGATTGAGAAGCGTAGGAGGGGCCCAGACGCACAAACCAATGAAAGATGTTGATGGTTCAAGCACGCCAGTATGATTCTTTATGATATACCGCAAAAAGATAAGAACCGTGCTCTGGTAAGCCAAACCAAGGGGAGGACATCATAGTTGACTCCCACACGATCTATCAAGCTCATGGGATGGCCGCTGTGATTTGACGGCAGTAGGGTAGGTTCGATGAGACTAAATGGACGACAACCTGCTGCGGCTGGATGGAGGCAAGGAGCTTGCGCGCGCTAACAACATCGATCAGTGTATTGAAGGGAATCACATTAGGCTCCTGGTCTGCGGGCAGGTAGATGTGCTGGTCTCGCGGTTCTATGGCAGGGTGAGGCTGAGGGTGCAGAACCACGGAGGTGTGAAGCTGATATTCTCCGTGACAACCGCACGCCATCCTTTCTCGGGAGCAGAGTTCTCCAAGTCAAGAGTCAAGATGACCGTGAGATCATTGTCCGGCTGCAGGCGCGTTTCGCAGTCCTGCGGAAGAGCAAGAAAGGCGATATATCGACGGTTGCCAAAATTCGGCACGGCCACCACGAGCAGCTCGCAATATCCTTCTCCAAGATCCCTGAAGGCTTTATCCTTGGCTTCTTGCTCGAAGACCAGAGGGATGTGAAGGCACGTGCCGTAGTTTGTGAGATCGACAAAGGTGTTCCGCATCACTTACAGGGTTTGAGGACGCTCCCCCAACCACGCACCCCTCTCTTGGTTGCGACAATCTGACTGTAATTGATATATTCGAGGACCCTAGAACAAACAGTAGGTGAGGCTGACAATCGAAGACCTAATATGAATTTAGGGATCAATGGTGGGAACCGTTCCGCATCCTCTACTTCAATCTGAAAGTCGGACAGAGCCACGACAGACGATCGCACAATGCCCTTGTACCGTGAAAGAGAGGTTCTTGCAAGAACATATTGCTTGAACCAGAGGCGATATCCTCAACGTTATCTTCGCACAGTGAGAGGAGTAACGAGAATTCAATATGGCAGGAAAGTAGAGACAATAGTAACGTGTATAGTGACTCCGGTGTATCGCTGTCCGCGCAACAACCAGAGTTGGCGATCACGATTCCTTGATTCTATCGCAGATTGACCATTGTTAATTTTCACAGAGCCACCCTCGAAAATGGAGAGGTTCAGAGTTCTCCACCTTCCAACTATCTTCTGTCTCTATGGCCAGATAGCTGTATGACTCGCGTTGACATCAACTGTGTCTCCGAGTACGATGAATGGAGCATAAGGTATCTCTAATAGACGGAAAAATGAGTGGGAAACAATCTGACTGCTCGCTCAGCAACCATCCGGTACACAAGGCATCGTCGCATTCGTCGCCGCCCTCGATATCTATCTCCATAAACCGGCCAGACCAAGATACCGAGGAGGTATGCATTCGTCCGATTTGGGCGGACGGTAGTAAGTTCAAGATTGCGGGTATGCCAATCGGGGAGACAAGCCACACCAAGCCATGACATGGTACTGCTCCAGGTGTTGATAATCGATGGCTTATCTGTACTGCGTTGCTGGTAATTCGACTCGTTGACGGTAGGTGTAGATTGATCCGAGCTCAAGATTGCTGCCTGCTCTTGCGAACAGAGCAAGCGATTGTTGCACAGAAATAGGAAGGAGAACCATTGCAACCTTTGTCAATAAACTCGTGTAATCTGATCGGCAGAGAACGAACATTGACCAGCGCCTCTTTGACGTAACACAATCTCGATACTCTCGTATACTTTTGATCACAGGTATCTAGACTCATGACACCGCGCATGTCACATGCTCTGTTGCAGCCTTCACTGCAATGTGGATTATGTGTTATGTTGCAGCCTTGTCCATCAGTTGAACAACCTAAACATGATTCCATTCTATGGCAATTCCATCGATAATTGCCCTTCGTAGGATTCGGCGGTAAGACTGTGTCGCAACGACATCTAGAAGACCCGACTGTTGTGAAAATTGAGAAACGCAGGATAGGTATTAATCGTTATGTCTCCAGATTGAAGTGATGTCAAGACCAGAAGCACAGTGATAGAGCAGAAGTATCTCGTTCACCCGTTGAAACGGGGGGTGAGCTTGTTCTGATCTGGAGAAGTACATGAATACCAGGTAACATGGACTGCGAAAAAGTTTCTTACAGACCCATCTGATTGGTCGGTCGCCTGCATGGAAACACATGACAAGCACCAAGCCAGGTCGAGTTGGGGTGTGCTTCATCAACCTCATACCAGCTTGTGCATTCGAAAGCAGCGCCGACCGAGTACATGAGCGCTCGAGTATATTCGCCAAGAGCACACAGTCTTTGTCCTTTCCCAACTATCATAGCAGAGATGCGATACGTTTGGAAACCCGAAGGCACCTCGTCAGGTGTCAATGGAACTAATCCCTCTTCCCTGGGCAACGACGTGATGAGAGAAAATTATCTGTCCAAGTCTGACACTCACTGTGTACCTTTCTCTTATTGGGATCGGAGAGCCTTTGAGTGATGCTAATCGAATGTGGCTCTCGGCTATTGAGTATCAGCGGGGCCTATCGCACCACCAAATCCCGGGCGCCATAGGAGTCTTGCTTGAAGTGATTTTGCTGCACGCTCCGTGTTGTTGACGTCCTTGAATGTAATGAGAATTCCAGTCGGGCTGAATGAACCACGTTTTCTGGATGCAACTCGTGCTTGGCTTTCGAAACTTCCTTCGTCACAACTATTCCAAAGGAAAGCTTTGACGCGATATCTCGGTCAATGACTTTAAAGCACACAGCTGTATCTCCGTGGTAAAAAATTAGATTCCTCTGGCAGGAATTTGTCATCGGGGATATGAAAACGAATCCATCTTTCTCTTGGACCCTTGAAATACTGCGCCTCTGGGGAATTTCTCTGAGCCATTTCAATAAGGGTATCTTGCGATTTATCTTGGTTGTTCTCCACGATGCATAACCTCCCTTTTCCATGGTCTATTTATCATCCGAATAGCCTTGCCGTTGAAGTGGAAGCCCCGTTCATAGTGGGGTTTGTTGTATAGCGAACAAGAGAATCGCATTGGTCGAGAGTATGTTTTCATAGCTATAAGGAGTATGAGATGGGCAAAACATTGCACAATCTAATTTTCCGTAGGATGCAAGTGATGACTTTGGTAAACAAGCCATCTCACACCTCATAACGCACCTTGTCGGTTATCTTTTTCTTCACCGAGTTATATCTGTATAATGAACCTCAAGGCGCAAGGACCGATGGATTTGTCGCCATACAGCCTGTAAGATGGAAGAGTAAAAGCGACATTTTGCTGGCACGACCGAAGAGGAAATGCTAGGATGGTGGTTAAGCGTATAATAATATGCTCATAAGCCACCACAGTGGAGGCAACAATGTGACCAACAATGAACTAGGGCCGCACAATTCGCGTTGCCATCAAGATGGGGTGCCAGGAGCAAGGCCAACCATGGCCTGTAAAAATGAACCATGAGCCGCAGGATTCCGCTTCAGTACTGCAGCTATTTTCTTCTTCACTGCCGGACATGGCGATCCCACCCAGTAGATTAGAGCAGTATTGTATGTTGTTGTAATCAAAACATCTAGCTCATAGAAGGTGTATGTGATATAACGTGATGGAGTGCCAGCAGAAGGGCCAACCATGGCCTGTGAAAACAAACCCATTTATCAGAGGAGTCCACCTCAGGCCTGCGGTCGTTCAATTCCTCATTGTCGGGGATGATGAATTCATCCACTAGATCAAGCAGCATTGACTATCGCTGATCCCAACCTATCCAGCTAATGATGTGGTGCTGTTTTTCTTTCCAACACCACATGGGTCTCTCTTCTGTAATTGGTCATTTTTGACGGGCGTTCAATATATTTGATTGTTGGTTTCCTTTTCTTCCGTTTCTCCCTCTTTGTATATACGTTCTTATTTATTTTTCGTTTCGTTTTCCTTTTCTGTACCTTCTCTTCTTCGAGAGAACCAATAATGGTATCGAGATATGCAAGACCGCTGGAAATGTGTTGAGCACCTTAGCAAGTCATCGTAGCTTTCAATCTTCTGTAAAAACAGTTGCTGGGGTTCCAGCTCAACTATCGTATGTTTTAAAAGGGTCAGGCACTCCAGTAGACTGGATGTTCGCCAACATGTTCCAGTCAGGGAAGATAGGTCATCAGCATGTGCCATTGACGCTCCCATCCAACCCTTCATTTTGGAGGGAACGAGGACCATGGTCTGTATGGGCTGAAACTTCGATACCGGTGTTTGGAGGAGTCCGAATGAGCCACATCAGCTGAGGTTGGAGTCTGCAAAACGTATTGTATAACACGCACCGTCAGGCAGCTGCCTGCAAACCCAAGACGTATGGGAGTAGTAGCGCCGTTATATCTGTTGATGGTATTATGGAACGCAATAGGCGGAACTATATGTTATTTGCGCCACTCATCATCGGAACGCCGTCGAGCCAGACCGTGGCGAGGTTGTATGCATGGGCATCCTGGAAATAATTCCAAGTCAGTTGTTGGATGTCATCTTTAGCAGCAATTCTTTCATGCAGCATTGCTTGTCTTTGCTTTCCGAGACATTCCCATAACCCCTTGGTTACTTCTGTTTGGGAGTGATAGGTTTTGAAGCATTCTACAATGTTCTGGCAGATCTAAATCCCAGGTCATTCCTATTTTCGTGATGCACAGAAGGCTCCGCTATGAATGGGCATTGTACAGTCCGGTGAGACCTCTGGCTTGCGTCACCCTTGCCATATTACGTCAAGGTACCAAGGAGCAGACCAAAGAAAATGTATCGTGCCTATCTGAATAGCGGACTCAGAGACATGTCGCAATATATTGGATCTAATCACCTTAGTAGAGAACATATGAAATGATGTTGGATAGTAATACCTGTTTGTGTAGGCGACTGACTTCAGCTATTGTTAGTTGGTTGACATTAGCAGCTAGCCTGGATATTAGCTCACGTCGATAACAAAAACACGAAAAGAGATACCTGCCAGCTCACTCCAACCTCTCCAAACAACACCTCATCCGCTGTCAACACCCCCAAAGCCTCTGCCTGACCAGAAAGCCATCATGCAGAACATGGCAATATTGGGCTGATTAAAGATCCGTCTACATCCGATTCAACTCTGCTTCTTCCTCGATTTCAGTGACTGTCTCTGACTCTTTATCGGTGGGTGCCTCTGACTGTTGTGCTGCTTGATGGGAAGTGCAGAGAAGGTTGGTGTTCACGAGATTATATAGGCCAGAAGATTGGGAGGTCACATGACCTATTCACTCTGAGTGCGATGGAAGGATCCGTGACAAATTGTCAAATTAGCATCGATAGTGGCAATATTCTGTTGTAATTTGGAAAGCTCCATCAGTGAAGTCGTTGAAAACACGGGAATTTCCAGTTATTGAAGCTGTCAGGTCAGTGGCAAAGTGGTCTAGCCCGCGCAGTTATGGAGTCCTGTGTAACCCTATTATGGATAGGTGAGGAGCATTCCGTGGAATAAATGGAATTATCCTCTGAATATGGGAGTATCCCGTAAATGAATTGGAATTCTCCTTCATCATAGGCGAAATCTTTGACATTGATACCCAAAATTCCCCACTCTGCCTACGTGGCCTGAATTGGAAGTTGTTATATTCCGTGAAATTAAGGGTTCACTCCGCTACGTGAAGAATATTTCCGGTCGAGT